GTTTATTAGCTTAATCATAGCTCAATATTGAAACATATTATGCTTGTATAAAAGTATATATATGTATAATTATATATTTAATATATAAATTAATATGTGTATATTTAAATAAAAATGTACAGTTAAAGTTATATATATACATATATATATGTGTATATATGTGTGCGTGTGTGCATGTGTGTGTGTAAAACTGATGGTTAAGGAAAAAGATACCATAGAAATTATTTATCTGATCAGGAACTTGAGGATTTATGCTGATTTTTATAAATGGAGACTTAAAAATATTTTATGTATATATAATGTATTATAATAATTATGTATGTTCTATATAATTATATGCATATTTTTACATGTATATGTAATTATATTTGGTATATATATATATGATTCCCAGTTCTAAAGCATACATGGTTTTGAATATTTAACAGCTGCAACCTTTGATTATTTTGAACTTCAGTTTTGTCATTTGGAGAAATGAAAGATTAAGTAGTAGGTTAAGCTGTCAGGCTGTCAGACAGGACATCTGTGACTATTTGATAAACCCTGAATGCATGAATGGATTAAGTGCAGAAGTTCAAGGTTAAAAGTGTTATATTACAGAGAGAACACTGTCTCACTCTGAAGGAGTATTTCAAAATATTGATTTAAAAAGTATCTTCTTTGTGAAGATCCTCTTTCAGCAGGGTCAAAATAAACAAACTGAATGATATGAATTTGCTTTAAAAATTGTCTTGATTGACTGCTTTCAGAGAGCCCCAATTTGTGTCTGGAGGAATTTGAGCAGCTCCTCTGCAATTCACTAGGTTCCTTAAAAAATACATGCCTCACTTAGTGGACCCAGTGGGCTAAGTACTATACATACAATATCTAAAACGATAGGCTTTGAGTAGCAACTGCTGGCTTAGAATATTCTTTTTTCTGTATGAATTATTAAGATGAACATTTCCAAATTTTATATTTTAATTTGATTTTCAGAAATGCAAACTTTTGAAGTGAATGTTTCATACTCTGTCATATAATCTTTATTAACAAATATTCCATTAACAAATGGGTTACTCTTGTGGTTTTTTTTTTCAAATTCATGTTTGTACTTTTGTGAGTATAGAGCTGTCTTGTGAACAGACCAAAGTAATATTTAATGTTTGCTCGATAGTTCAATTCTAAGTTCTAAATATAAACTAGCAGAATAAACATTAAAAAGGGAAATTTTTATGAACTTTAATGATTATCTTATTTACTTTATTTACCTAAATTATTCAGTACCTTAGTGTCTAACATACTATACTCAATGAATGTTTTTATTTGCTGACTTTCATGGCATATTAGAAATTTGGTATACAGAGCGATATTAACTGCTCTGAAATCAGAATAATTTGTTTGATTTGTTAAACCTGTATCTGTTAAAATTTCATAGGGTATGAAAGAGGTGGTATTAGACATAGGTAGGCAGGGTTTCAAACATAAAAGGTATGAACTTAACATTTTTTTCAGCCTCACCTCCTCAAGGCTTCAAAATGCTTTCCGCAAATTAAGAATACTAATACTTCCAGAAGTGTGATATTCCAATGAATGTAGGAACACTGTTGGTAAATAATAACAACGAAGCTACTCTTTTTAACAGATAATAATGCCTACCAATTTATTACCACTTTGATATTCATTATCATTAAGGTCAGTTTATAATAAAGAAAATAATAATAAACATATATTTGTATCCTAAATGCAGTAGTTTCTATTTTTTAAAAATGAAGAAATGAAATATCTGTTTTCTCAAGAATATTTTAGTCTGCTTTACAAATTAAATGGGTTTTATTTGCTGATTTTGATTTTGCCCTATTTGCAAATAATATTCTTGCTGCTGAGCAGTTTGGTGCAAGGAAGTATTTCAGGACATATCCAAATTTTTTAAAAGGAGAAATGTTAGTCACAGATAATCTTTAAGAGGGAGCTTCAATTTTTTACCTTAATATCAGCTCTGTGGATTTTGTGGCAAATATCTATTTTAGAATAAACATTCGACATTTCACTTAGACTCATGAATAGTTATACCCTGCTGTCCAAGTACTGCAAGTGGACCCAGAGTTTGCTGGAGATCATCTTCTCTGAGGAGTGAAGCATACGGGATTGGGCAGAGGGAAAAGTTGAATTGTGATACAGTCACAACAGAGGCATCAGTCTATCCTAGATCTTATGAGGAGTTCTAGAACAGAAATAGAGCTCCAGAGTCGTCCTGTCTTGAGGTGAAAGGGAGAAGCCTTGAAGCCCCTGTATTAGTCAGTCATTGTACTCTGGAAGAGTTTGACCTATGGTAAGGGGGCACCCTCTGGCCCAAGGCAATGTATGTGTAGGTTCTCAGTTTGAGTCGTCAGCTCCCAGTGCTAACCAGCTCTCGTAGGGGCTGGGGAAGGGGCCTGTCTAAGCACCCTGCAGCATCCACTACACCTGTATTTGCATAGCCAGTAGCCAAAAAGCATGTAGTCACGTGTGCTCTGCTTTCGAATGGCCTTTTTGGCTTATCTCTTCAAACAGGTAAGAAGAGATGGGCTCCAATAGTTTGCCAAGTTTCCCCAAATTTTATGGTTCTTTCTTGATATTTGGTATCCTCTACTAAAGATAACCCAGTGGCAACAATGAGAGAAGGTCTTGACCTATATGTATCAGTGTATATGAAATACATATGTATCTTGGAAGAATGGAGGTGGGAATTAACTTTATCAAGCAGTCAGTCAACTTTGTGCCTCTCATTGTGCTGGATAAAATAAATAACTTTATCAAGCAATCAATCAACTTTGCGCCTCTCATTGTGCTGGATAAAGTAAATAAATACGCTTGAGCTATCTCTTTAACTTTTTTAGTCATTCCGAACCAGAGGGAGACTTATAAATGAAATAATTACAGAATATGTTCCTGCTTAGTTGTATTCTTTGAATCACAAGAACAGAACGTTTCAATGGAAACTACCTTAACAACTGAAGAGTTTTTCCATTTATTTTTTTCTCCATAGTATTATGTTAGCCCTTACTTAATTTCTGATATTTTAGGCTCAAAGAAGGTAATGGATATATGTGAACACCTTCTGTAAAGCATGATGTGTGACACAAATAAAAATAATACAAAATTATTTATTAAAACTCACTATTATTTGTGTTCACGTTAAACCATATCATTGATTTCCACCCAGACATATTTTACTTTGAGTTTTCTACAGACGTACTGACCAAAAATTCATTTTGGTTCTTTAACTTTTAATCAAAAGAAATTATTAGTAATACTGAACTCAAGACAGATCTATCACCAAAGTTTTAGGGATGCTCTCTCTAAGAAAGTTTAGGCACCCACACTCAATATACTAACAGGTTGACAATAAAACACGTGTACGGTGTGCTCTGGTGAATGCAGACTTGTTATTTTTTTGCTTTGATCTATGTTTGTTTTAACATCTGCCCTCTATTTTCTGACTTGTACTACTTTCTATTTTAATTGGTTTGCTGATTCAAACTTGCTGCTGTTGGCCTTGCTGTTGTTAAGGAACATTTTTAAAGGGAAGGGAAAAGAGTGGGGGAAAATACTGGTTTTGTTAATTTGACTCCAGCTGATTTTATACCTGGAAACAGGAGAGTTAATGGTTTTCTTGTATGCTTAATTACATCTTGCACCCATGGCTTCTGTTGTAGGCATTAAGTCACCTTGTTAGCAGATCTACTGATCTAGGAGAGTTAGATTCACCATCGGGGAATCACTTTTAGAATGTTTACCTTGTCTTCAGGTAACTGAACTGATTGAGGGCAGGATGATGGTTGTGTCCAGCTGACCAGAGAGGTGATTGTGAGATTTTTGAAGATTATTCCTATGGGTTTCACTCTACTTTGCTTTGAAAACAAAATGGCAGGCAAGTGAGTGGCACAGACATGAGCTTCTCTTCTCTCTTCTGTCTCTTAGAGTTCTTTTCCATGATAAAGGAAAAATCCCACTGTATTTTGTCTTCCTAATGCTTCTTGGATTTTCACCAGCAGGTTTTTACAGTCTGTTGCTTGCCTCTCAGATTAGAAGAATGCTGGCATATTTTAACGGTTTCCTAGGATTCAAACAGCCTTTAATTAACAGCAAATTGATGTTTTGGAATGTTACCAAAATTTGGGAGACTGAACACTGAGATGGGCTTCTTTCCTTCCAGCTTCTGAGTGCATGAAGTCCTATAATGGGGAGTGAGGGAGAGGAGTGGGGGCGCTTCCTTGCAAACAGCCGGTTGCCTACTAGTATGCAAAGGGTGTCTTTGTTGGCATAATATTCCCACTGCTTGCTCATTGGTGGCCTTCTAAATTCCACCTACTCATGACTGGGAAGGACGTAGGTAGTCATCCGAATGCTCAAAGCTACAGGGGTGCTGAACAGTTCAGGGATTGCTGGGTTTGTAGCTGGGTTTGTAACTGGGTTCACTTGTTTTAATCCTCCAGTTGCCAGGTCAGTAAGGTGTGGCTGCCTGTCTTTGTGGTTAAGTTTCTTTTCCATGCCAAGTTCATGTCATCTTGCTGCCAGAGTTTTGGATGTGGTGGAAAAGAGCAGTTCTGTAAAATAATCGCTTAGACTCTATGGGTGTTCTGAGTAGAAGTTCGTTTTCAAAGAGGGGTGGGAGTGCAACGAAGGAGTTTTCCTTTGGAATCAAGGGATCTTAGTGAAAGATTTGTTGCTGATCCAATCCAGAGCTGTAGGCCAGAAAGAAAGGATAGATTGTGGAGTATGAAATGTTTGAAATATTTACTGTTACTTACACAACTATAGTTATTATCTGAGGAGGGAAAGGGAGCAGCTTCACTAGCTCCCTCTGACTAATGGCAAATCAGCTCATTGGCCACTTCATAGCTGAGGCCACTACAGTCCCTGTCTTGTTTTTTCCAGTGACCCACAAAGCTGGTCTTTTGGGCTCAAAAGACACCTTGATGGTTTTTTGTTTTTAACATGCACAATGTCGCTGATGGCTCCCTTTGCTCTCCTCTCTGCAGGTGGTACATGCCAGAGCCCCGCTCTCCCAGCCCTGGTCCGTCCACCAGCCCCTCCTCTGCAGCCTTCGCTGGATATCAAACCCTTTCTTCCCTTTCCTCTGGACACTGCAGCCGCAGTCAACCTCTTCCCCAATTTTAATGCGGTAAGTCCCCAGGTCACATTTGCATATGGCAGAGTGGTAAGTGCCAGGGGTCCTTTCCTTTGTTGTTGTTGCTATTGTCCTTTTTCTTTTTTTTGAAAGAAAGGATTATCTTAGTTTTTCAAATTAATGCTCATATAAAATGCTTTGTTAGTTCTCAGAGGAGAGTCTGCTGCAGGGTCCTTTCAATACAATAGTTGAGGTCATAGGGTTCCTTTTTTATAGCTGAGCCTTTGGGACTTGTTATGAACAATAAATTCATTTGGCCACAAGGCTGTAACCTTGGTACAGAATAGAAAGGGAAGAGTAGTCCTGATGTGCCAGGGGTGAGTTGGCCACTACCTCTGTTTTGCTGTTATCATTTATTCTGTGGATTGTCAGAAAGCCACAAGGTACCTTGTTGCCTGCTTATGTAAGGTCCCCAGAACTAGGCTCCTTCAAGGGAAAATGAAGAGATTTCATCCAAGTGGGTTGATCTTGAGTTCATGTTTCCCATTTATTGTCTTTCTGGGTAATACTAACAATTCCATTATTTTGTTGGAATATATCTACATTAAAACTTAATGAATTTGTTAAAGAGAACATTAGCATTCAAGTAGGTGTCTAAAGATTTAAATGTGTTTCTTCTATCTGGGTGCTACACTTTAATTTTCAAATTTGTTGCTTCTTTTCTAATTTAATAAAGAGGAACCCAATAATCACAATAGTGATGAATTCCATTCGCAGACTACTTTTTTCCTCCTTAACTTACAGCAACTCTGCATTCTGGTGGTAGGTGGGTTTCTTTTGTTGTTTTTACTTTTTTTGTTTTGTTATGTTTTCCCTTCTTACTCTGCTCAGGTTAAGTCTTACTTAAATTACTTTGTTTTTTGGGCTTTGTTAATGGTCTTCTCAACACAAGTTCAATTACTTACTTGCTTCTGTTTTCACTCTTAGCATGTCTTTGTGAGTTGGCAGATTCCCCATATTCATCATCATCTCCTTTCGTACAAGCAATGAAAGTATTCTTATGATGAAAATAGAAATAAGGGTTGAAAAGGTTAGAAACCCGTGACTATTTTTTCCCTAGTATCATCTGATTCAGATTTCAGCAGTTTGTCATAATGGAGGTCTGAGCTTATCAATGACAGGATGTGTCAACACAACCAAAGAAGATTAAGATGGGAGGTCACTGAATGCCCAGTGATCTAAATAATACAGATTTTCTTGTTGCAACTCCCGTGATGGAGTTTTAAAAATCTTCCCACGTTAGATCTTTCGCTTTCAAGACACAGAAGTGGGTCTTATTTTCTTTAACAGTACTTCATCATGGGGACTCTTTTCATGCCAATGAGATGGTACAGTTATATGCTAGTCCTCGCTAAAGGGCAAGGCAGAATCAGAATGATTACTTTGCTCTTTTAGGGGTGAGCCGTTTTCCATGGGAATCTTATTTTAAAATTGATGGAGTGTAAGTGGAGGAACATCAAAATCACGTTTCCCAAGGAAAGATTTCTAATCCTAGGTGTTTCAGTAAGAGTAGAGGAAAAATTGCTCAGCATCAAATTCTCTGATTTTTAAATGACCATCCTCAAGTCCCATGAGTTCCCTTTCTCTGCTCTTCTGTTAAATGGTTTCCTGGCACAGTCTTGCTTCCCAGACACCCGGAGATGATCCATCAAGGTGTGTTACCTCGCCTCTAAGTTCACATGGCATCCTGTCAGTTTAGGTCTCATGTCAGCTTTAGAGTGGTTGAGGTGAAATTCTTGGAAGGCTGTAAAAAGCTGTGTTTTAAACTGTCAATTTGCCATTTGAGAAATATTAAAAGCAAAATGATTAATTTGATGGACGACGATTGCTTGTCGTAGGAAACAAAGATGAGTGATTTGCTGAGCTATTTGACACTCAGCAAGCCTCTTTATCCTCTTTGCTACTATTTACTCCTCTTTAAAATAAAGGGAGTGGACCTAATAATCTCTTCCTCCTCTGGAGTTTATTTCATTCAAATATTTGAGCTTTTGTGGGCAAAGGCAGCATTGTGTGATGGTCAAGCCGGACCCTGTAACTAGACTGACTGTGTTCAAATCTCAGAGTTGCTGCTTGTCATCAATGTGACTTTGGGTAAGTGATGTGACTCCCATGTATCTCCAAATCTTCATCTGTAAAATGGGACTAATAATTAACCTACTTCTTAGGTATGTGGTAATGCTAATGTGTGTTAAATCATGTAAAACAGCACTCAACCCATAGCAAGCACTGTTTGAGTGCTAGCTGTTATGTTTATTCATGGCCTGTAAACTTCTTTTTTTTTTTTTTAAATGTGGCAATTCATTAAGTAAGAGCAAAAGTTTGACTTCATTCTTTTTCCTCTGTGATGAAATTTGACTTACGTTTGTATTTATTCCATTTAAATGAGACTCTCTGTTGCTACACATATTAAGTTATTTCCTTCCAGTGCTAGTCAATCTGTAGCAACCAAGGATGCAAACAAGCAAACAAGCCACTCCTTGTTTAATATTGAGGGGGAATGGTAGCAAAGCCCCATAATCAGGTGGCTTTGGACTCAGAGTATAGAGCATTTCTCTAAATAACAGCCTGACTTCTTGATTTTGTAGCAGGTATGAATCTCAATCCATGAATCCAGGGTGTCTGAAACATAATTTTTTTATTGCTATAAATTGATTTTTACTCCTCATTCAAAACTCCATTTTATGGTGAAGGGAAATTCAATATAATTCTGTTTCAGGGTGTGCTAAGGTTGTGGAATCAAACAGGCTATCCATCCAGCTCTTGGTGGGTTACTCCCCTGTTCACTAAGTTATTTATCTACGAAGACAGTCATTGATGGTCAGCACCTGGTTAGCATGGCTAGTTAAGCCTCCAGCTCCCAACTTTAGACATACACACTTTGCAAGGCTGTTGGTGGTCCCTTCCGCCTAGATGTGCCAAACTGCTATTATCTCTTTGCCAAGAAAATGATGAACCATCTGCCACCAAACAACTTTCCCACATCTGACCTTGTTGAAGCAAGTTCATGACAATCACAGACTGACTGCCTGTTATATTCCCCCACTGAGGCTTCGTGTATGGCATCATCTGTCTGTTGGGGATAGGGTTGGTCAGAATGGTGAAGGAAAAAAAAATATATATATGAAATAAAATCATGAAAACATAAATGGATATCCCTGATTATTATCCTTCCACAAGAGCATAAGCCACTGGGTTTGGATGTAAGTCAAGTAGAATAATGAAACATCTGTAAAAATATGCATAGTTAGAAGGGAAAGGAAAACAGGTGGCGAATCTGAGCTTGGAAAAGGATATAAAAGAGGACATTCGATAAAACCATTAGGATCCCTTGTTCTTCTCAAAGTCAATTTTTAAAGATTAGCAATAGAAGCTGTTCCCTAAACCTAAGGATGTCGTATCCTGGTTGTTTCAGTAGCTTTCAGACAAGAGAGAGCTTTCCTTGAATTCCTCATGTACCCCCTACCCTGCCCCTCAATCTCTTAAGACATTGGAGTTTCAGTACTCCAGGAGTACTCAGGATCATTCTGATCCCATTCTGCATCAGCATTTCTCGAAAGGAACCAATCCTGGAAATAGGCAGATGGTGTTTAGGAAAGAAATCCTAGAAAGTGGTATGAGTTTGGTCCATTCAATCAATTGCTGTTAATAAGCTCATCACTACGTGGCAGGAATCATGATAGCAAAAATTATATTGTGATGTCTGCCCTGAAATAATTCAATTTATAAAGGAAGCTTGAACAAATAAACATTGGTAAATATGGGTGCTTTTATGAAGAAAGATGTATAGAGTAGAATGGCAGGCTGGGGACAAGAGTAGAAGGTTGTGTGGTTGGCTTAGTGAGGGTTTGGTGAGAAAAACAGAAACTATTCTAGGCATGTAAACAGGAAGGGACTTAATATAAGGATTTAGGTGCTTATAAAGCTTTTGGAGGTGCTATGCAGGCAAACAAAGGTCAGAGAAGGCTATTGTTGGCTCTCAGTTTTCATGCTTGCTTTCATAGAATCAGGAAGTTGCAGAAATACAAGATGCTCAGTAATCCCTGTTTCTTTCATCCAGATCCCATGAAATGCCTCTCTTTCTGGGGTCCATGCCTGAATACTGCTGGCAGAGACCCGTGGGAATGTAACCCTAGGGCTTCCAGTCCTTGTGATGTGAGGGAGAGCATAGGGGAGGGAAGGCAGTGCTGAGTTGCCAACAGACTTGACATGATGGCAGAATGGAAAGGTTATGCATAATCAGAAAACCTGAGCATGTTTGCAACCATGGATAAGAGGCTAAATCCTTTGGAGCCTCAGTATCCTTTTCTATGAAATGAGAATGAATACATTTCTCTTAGGTTTGTGATCAGAAGGAGAGCTGACTTTCAAAATGCTGGAGACTGAAGCTGAGAAGTGACTTGGGTTACTTAGGATGTTGTTTACAATGGGAGCTGATCATCAAAAAATACCTATACTCCTTGACAGTTTTCTCCTTAGGTCTCAGAATTCCCCCCTGTTTTTCATTACTCTAACATATTAAAACTTCCTATCCTCCTTAGTAGTTATGACAATAATGAACCTTCAAAATTTTGTTGAAAATGTACAACTTTGGGAGAATGTGTTCATAGGGACTGACTGTAAGCCTGATCTTATGTCTGACCCCTTCCGTGGCTTTAACCTTCCATTAAAGGTTAAATGAGTAAACTGACCTCATGCACCTGCATATACCAGATTCTCAGTAAACACTGAGGTCTTTCTCCTCCTAGGAGATGCACAAACAAGAATAAAGTCACACAGAGGGCCCAAAGGCAGAAAGATGGGCAAATAAAGGAGAGTAACTCTTTGTCTTCAATTAGCCTGGGCTAATACTCTATATTTTTTTTAAGTTTATTTATTTTTAGTAATCTCTACACCCAACATGGGGTTTGAACTCATGACCCCGAGATTAAGAGTTACATGCTCTTCTGACTAAGGCATCCAGGTGCCCCATATTCTCTAACATTCAAAAAAAGTAA